CCAGACCTGGCCATTTCTGCCTGGTCACCCCCCTGACGATGGCCGGGTCACTCTGCGCCTGTGCCTTGCTGAGCGGCCTCCACTTTGCCACTATGTCCTCTGGGCGGGGATGATTGGCCGTCCACCCCTCTGCTTCAATGATTTTCGCCACCTTCACTAGTGTCGGGGCACATCTTGAGCATTTTGCTGTCAAAGAGAGAACATTTAAATTAATAAAATTAATATTCAGACACGAGTTGTAAATGTTTGGCTAAGAAAGTATCTACACTTACACAAAAGATGTTGCTCCCGCTTGCCGTACTGCAGAGCCCTCCACTTGTCATAAAAGGCTCTATCGGTGGGGAACCCAGCGTCTGCTCTCTGCGTTTTGTTGGGTGGCTGGCCAGTGATTCCTACAGGGAAGACCTGTAGAAAGACTTTAAAGTCCGGGGTTGGGCTGCCCTCTTTTTCCACTCGCATTTTCTTCTCTTCCCGGGCACCCTCTTTGCCAGAGTCGTCAGAAGAGGAGCTGCAATATTGAAAAGGTTTCCAGGTTACACACTGACAAACAGGTGGATGAGCACTGAGAGACATTATAATTATTAATATTTAATTAATAATTGACTGTTTCAGATGATTACATACCGTGTCAGGGAGCTGAGCAGGTTCGCGGTCGCCACAACAGTGTCCAGGGTCTTCATCCTGTAGTGCTGGTTTGCCACAGCAGTCGAATGGGCCATGTAGTGTGCCACAGACGCCTTCTGCTCCTCCGTGAAGTTGGCAGCAGCATGTGTCTCCACGGTCCTACGAATTTCCTGGCTCTTGATGTCCGGCAGTTTGTAGCTGCAATGGGGGAGAAATATCAGATGAAGCTCCCAAACTTGAATTATATAATTTTCTTGAGGCTGATCTATTTATTAAATGCACAAATCCGTTACGCTAATTCAACAGATATTTTTGGACCTATGGACTGCTGTTAATACTTACTGCGCGTGCAGGCGAGTGACGTCATTGCCCGCACTCCTGAGCTTTGTGCCCGCTGTGGACAAAAACAGCCTGTCTTCATTATCTTGACCCGGGCGGATGTAGTCAGGGCGGATCCACATGTAGTATGCGTCCAGCATCTGCAGAGACAAACAAAAAATATCTGTTAATATCTGTTGGTTCATTGTTGGTGTTACTGTATTTCATGGTAAGACAATTTAGCTTGTATTAAGCGTACTTACTGCAGCCTCCTCCATAGTGAGGGCAAACACAGCAATCTGCATTGTCGCAGTCTTGTGGTCGCTGAAAGCCACGCACACTTTGCCCCCAGCATTTTTTCTCTTCGCCCACTCTGCTATCTGAAAAAATAAAAATACACACAGAGTGAATAACTGACATAAAGGCCCTCTTCGCAGGCTACCTAATATACCCTAATATTGCCCCCTAAAATACTCCCACGAAAACTGAGGTCTTACCGTCATTCCCTCCACCGCCCCCGGTCTCTGGAAGTGACCGAGGATCAGGATTGCTTCACAGTAGTACCGGTACAGCGTCTTTTGATCTGAAGCCACGTGGTCGCCTTCCATCAGCCTCCCATAAATGGACAGCATGTCTTTCTTGGCCTTCCGGAGGACTGCCTGGCACTCCTGAAGGCTCCTCTGACCCCCGTGGAACCGTTCATACCTAGAATGACATGATAGAAGACAAGAAACAATGCAGGGGAGGATTACACACATGTCTGTGTCACATAACCCCAGATGTACAGCCAGCACATGAGTATTATCAACATGCAGGAAGTCATTAAAGTAAAATAAATGGGAGGCAGACTGACCTGGTTTTACAGGTGACCTTGCTGTTGGACTTGGCCACTGGCTTTCTGAGGGCAACGAGGAGGTCGAGGTAGGCCTGGCACTTCCTGTAGAAGTCAGCATCCGCTGCAGCCAGGTTGAGGTGGGTCTTCAAATACTGAACAAACCGTATCATGTTTTTAATGTAGTTCAGTATGGTGGCTGGGCCCATTTCAGCGTGACGGAGTTGGGTGAGGTAGTCCTTGGTCTCAGTGGACTTTAGCAGGAAGTCCAAGCTGACTTCATCCCCACTTGGCTGGATGTATCTCAGCATCCTGGAGACGTTGTCTACCTGTGATGAAAGAAAAAGAGCAGTGTGAGATGACGATGCAGCGAGAAGAAAAGCCACACACCAGCCAGCCGCACAAAGACACCCCGAAAAAAAAAGCTGTGTTTTATCTAAATTTGTTATGGAACTTAATACGCAGAGAGCTGCTCTACATGTGCTGTGCTACTATATTTTAAAACGTTTCCCGGTTACAAAGAGCAACATGGAACAGACTGAAAAGAGACACATGGGATATATCTCACCTCCTGCTGGCAGTTTGGGACCTGCAGGGTATTGATCAGGTAGCCCTTGAAATCCGTCAGCATGGCCTCTTCTGCAGGGAACTTTTCATACAGCCCCATCTTCATCATGTTGACACGGACACCTTTGCTCTGCTCTACTTGATCTCTGAAAAAAATAGAGAAAGACGAAAATGAGCTCAAATCAATCTTGCAGTTTGTTTACAGTTTCTGAACTGAACTGATGTGTGTGTGTGTGTGTGTGTGTGTGTGTGTGAGGTTTAGAACTTACTTTTGCCATGTTCGGTCACTTGGATCGGTGGAGCTGCCTTCAGAGCTGCTATCCTCCGCCACCGAGACGCCACCGGCCGCTTCAGAGCTGCCACCGGCTGCTCCAGAAAGGCCACTGGCTGTGGGAACGGCAGCTGTGCTGGTGGACGGCTCTTCGGAGTCCAGGTCTGCCGTGTTCGGAGCATTGGCCACAAAAAACTTTCTTTGGCGCAGCTCTTCCAGAAGAGCCAGCCTAGATGGTCTGTGGGGGTACCGCTTGCACATCTCCTTATAGTCCCAGTTTCTGGCCTCCCGTGTCCACTCCTTGCTGGACTCCTTGGCCCTCTTCGCCTCCTCCAGCCGTTCTTCAGGCGTGCTTTTCTTCATGCAGACCCTGCTCAGATGCGTCGTCAGCATGTCCTGTGGTTTTTCACACAGCAGGCAGTGAACGATGCGACGATCGGACTTCTGGCTGTGAGACAAAGCAGACACACCAAAGATTACAACTGTGGAAATGAATGAATGTTTTTGCTTGCTGTTGTGGCTGGACTGTCTATTACATAAAATATACAGTTAAAATATAAAATATACATAAAATTAAAAATATACAGAAAGTTGTGGTTTAAGAGGGAAGTATTCCACTAGTTCAGTTTCCTTTTAAAGCAAAACCTCTCATACTGTAGTGCTACCAGAACTGGTTTTTCAGCATTCTTAGGACAGAGGCCTGAGTTGTGCTAAAGTGGCTGACCAATTCACACTTCACCCTTGACCTAATTTAGGTCACCAAAAGTTACAAGTCACTCCTTTGGAATCTATTTCACATGTTTTTGGGATGAGAAACAAGCCTTAATTTAAACAGATAATAGAAAAACACAGAGTGAAAACTATAATTGGGTTTTTCACAATTTGCTTATTATCAACATTAGTTTTATCCTGCCTTTATCCATACCATGTCAACTGAATTGTCAATAACAGGCACAGATGTGATCAGACACAACACAAACAGTAAAAATCCACTAGAGAAAAGAAATTTGAACTTACTTGTCGGCTTTTGCTGCCATTTTCCTAAAATAAAAAGAAGTCCTTGGGAAGGGAGTGAGAGTCTTGGGATGAAAGTATAGAAAATTCTGCCAAAGACAAGGAGCACAAAAACAGGAGTGTAGCTCAAGTTGAAAATTTCCTTGCAAAGGGCAAAAGGTGGTCTCTGCAGTCAGAATCGAAAACAAAGTGAATGAATGGTTCCTTACCTGCAGTACTTATTCTCTGTGCAGCACCAGCTGTGTGATGTCATGGTCAAGCAGACCAATTAGGTTGCTTACTATTGTTTAGAGGGGGCGGGGGGGGGGGGGGAGGGTGTGAGCAAGACACTCAGTTAGACAAGACAGAGCTCCAAACATCTGCAGAGGGAAGACATGGAGTGTGCTGGAAGACAGAAGGAAGCAGGCCACAGACCATCAGCCTGCAAAGGAAGAAAGCATCTGCAGAGGGAGGAAAGAAATATCTAAACAGCAATTTGAATTGCTAACACTAAAGAGCTTCTATTCCACCTCATTATAAACCTACACACTCACTTTTTCATGTAGTCTCCTTCTTAACATTTTATTACATGTGATGATTAAAAACTTTAAAACTGAGACATGTGTGCCATACTGATGTGTGTGTCCAAAACACACCTCCATTGTTCTGAGATCACTGATCAGAGTATAATAGAACCACATGTCAAACTCTGAGTGGTTGCTAATAAAGATGTATTCATACATCAAACCTATTTACATGTCACTAAGGAGGGTAAACTGTACAGGTTGTTTACAGACAGAAACAAATTGTTTGTATGTATGCTGGATGCTCCCTGACTGGTTAGCTGCAAACAACTTATTTCTGATGAAAGTTAAATTAAACAACCACATTCCAGGTAAACTTGCACCTGTGCACAGGTAGCTCTGCAGACAGTCATAGCTGTCCTGCAGCTGCCTGTGGGGGGAGGGGGCATTTGCATCTGTACACAGGCTGAGAATCAGAGTGTGACACTCTGATTCAGCCAGCTTTCATTTAAGTCATTATTTCTGTTCTAGGAGACCAGGGTAAAATGAGTCTGCTTGTCCTATCTCTTACATTTTTGGGTGAGTTCAGGGTAAAATTCTCCCTCTTCAACAGGATCACATTTACTATACTATCTATAGCCTAGAGTCAGGCCTTTCACTGGAGACCAACATTGTTTATTTTGAAACTTGTGTCTGCCTGGTGTCAGAGGTCAGATCTCTTAAAGTTTTTGGTATGTACTTCTGCCTAGCATTTTCAGAAATATGGTTGATGATACACACATTTAAAGCTTTCCTCTTCCTCTGTACTGCAAGCCCAGGCCTACAATTCAAACATTTCCCAAAATTTCAGGCCAACATTGTATGTAATGATCAGAATAATCAGATTTCCCTACACTGAACATGTAATAAAATGTGTTATGTAACTCATCTTTGTCTTTTCTTACATTTGACTTACTTTATTTAAAAACAAATCAGTCATGGTCAGCCCACCCCCCTCTTGGCTGCTGCAGAAAGGTGGGAGGGACTATCAAGTGGACATATAAGGTGAGACCTCAGAGGCACCATGTACTCAGTTCTTCAAGAAAACACTGAAGATTCCTCCTGCATTTTTCCTTTGTTTGTAAACTAGCTTTTTCATTTGCGAAGAATGGCTCCCAAGCGGTAAGTTCAGATCATTTGTATTTTCTGTCTTTACATTTTAAGAATGCATTCACGTGTACTAACATCTGTAAGCTTAAGTAAATAATCTATTTCTTGTTATTTAACAGCCTTACTGCTGTACCCAGGTGGCCTGTTGGTTGACAATACTATGAGCAAAAAGCTAGCAAAACACTCCTTAATGACTAAATTACTACAGTTATTCTTTTCTTAACTTTGAGTTAACTACAAGCTGTATGTGTTTTGTCCCTGACTTAGAAATAATAAGTATATAAAATAATAATTTGACAAGAACATATATTTGATCATGGCCTAAAATCCAAAAACAAAGGCTTTTTCAGAGGCAGCAGTCTGGACTTCAGTGTGGCATTGTAATTAGAGTGTCCAATTTGCACCTCATTGTATTAGGATCACACCAGCCCCCTCCCTTTTGAATCTGTTTCACCTTCAAAGTTTTTCTTTATATGACATAAGTAAACATGTCTGTGTTGAGAATGTGATTATTGTGCCATTTAGGTCAAATCCAATCTTTTTTTCCCATCAACGCTATTAAATTCAATTCAATTTTATTTATGTAGCGCCAAATCAAAAACTTCCTTGTCTCAAGTCTTTCTGGATTATTTTGTTTTATGAAACGATTTTAATCAAACTAAACCGTGTACCTTCTCTCTCACAGTGACAAGGATCGCCGCATCGTTTCCTGTCTGCAGTGTTTCAGACCACAGGAGCTGTTGCCTAACCACCTGTTAAGAGTCTGCCTGAAGAACCACACAAATGAGGAGAGGAATGCAGAGGTGGACAGAGCCAAAAAGTCGATGAAGGCCTGGACCCTTCAAGGCAGAACCTGGGACTACAACGTCATGGTCAGGCGGTACCCCGATGAGGCTTCCAGACAGGCTCTTCTGGAAGACCTTCGTGACATGCATTTTTTAATTCTTAATGACCCCATGGACACACCTGCTGAATCCAGTCACAGACCACCAGGCGCGGCAGTTGAAACTTGCAACAAAAAGTGAGTTGTTATTCACTAGTATTACTTTTTATTTAATGCAGAGTCATTAAATTTAAATCTTGGAACGCTGCCAGGCACAGATACAGAAACATTTCTAACTGGCCTCCTTATTTGTTTGTTTTTTTCATCAAATCATTCTAGACCTGCTCAGCCGACTCTCCAAGACTGCCAGAGAGTCCTCAGAGTGTCACAGATGGACATGCTGGACATCCGCAGGAGGCTCCTGGATCAGCAGCATGTGGAAGAAGACCAAAGGACGCTGTTCCGTTACTTCTGCGAAGCCATCCTGGTCCTGAGATACTTCCAGCGACCAGAAGCAGTGAGGGCATTTACAGTAAGTACTTTGACTTTATACACACTGAGGAAACACTGTACAGTAAGTCACCCTGTAGTCATGTCATTAATCCCCACGGTGTTCTTTATTTGTTTTCCAGGCTTCAGATTGGGTCAACAAGACACATGTTGAGGGACGATTCCGAATTGGGGTCAGTGAACTGACAGCGTCCACAAAGCAGAGTGCAACATTTTCCCTCGCAGTGGAGGACTCTGCTGTAAGTTCTCTATAAGGCTGAATATGATTGACCCCCCCCCAGAGGACACCAGCACCTCCTCGTATACTTTTGCCAATGAATGACTGATGATGATTTAGGGGATGGTGGGGTTGTAATAAGTTCTCTAGCAGCCTGAAAAGACTTAATATGAATTACTTTAGCATCAGAATGAAGCATTAACTTCCTGTCTGATCTCCACAGATGCTGGACGCATACTTCCACAAGGTTCGTCCAGCATGTCTGCAGGACAGTGTGGACGACCAGGGCAGATTTTTCCTGTCCAAACAGGGCATACCAGTTGGCAACGTTGCGAGCGACCTCAACCGTCTGCACGAACAGTAAGTTTTAGCAGAATCATGTATTATAGTGTATGCATTTATACACGCTGTACAGAGAAATATAAAAGGATTAAGTTGAGTGGCTGGCTTATGTACTACATCAAGTTCAAATAATATTATTTTATTTTCTGTAAGAAAAATATGCTGAAAGAATTGAGGTATAATCTGAAATTTATTCTTCATTGCAGGTATGAATTACCAAGCTTTTCAAGCCAAAAAGTGAGAAGAGCCCACAGATTCAGTACTTCGACATGGTTTGTGTCATCATCCAAAACATACAACATTCAAATATTTTCTGTTTACCAGAGTTTGACTATGAAATATTCTTTTCAGCGCTCCTTCTGATGAGCCGGCTGATGAGAGGATAGGTCGGAAAAAGAAGCGAGGCAGAAGCGCAGCTGACCAGGATGACAGGGACTTTGGAGCGTTTCTCCAGCACTTCCCAGCGACGGCGAGTAGCACCCCACCCACGGAAAAAAAACGGACCGCTGCAGGGTTTCCACCTGACAGAGTCTTTTATGACAGGTGGAGGTCTGTGCAGTTTGCCAAGCGGGAGGAGCACCTCTTGTGTAAGTTGACGCACTTTATCATTTAAAAAAATGATTACACATCTTGGTGTTCTGGAAATTATGCTAGGAGTTAACAATATTTCTATAATCAAAGTAACATAATTCACATTTTGGACAAGAAAATTAATTTAACATTTGTCTTTGACAGCCCAGAGTTCGAGACGGCCCCCGACAGTCAGCAAGGTGTCATTGCTCATCCGAAAAGAGGGTTGGACTGCCAACTGTCCTCGCCCCGAGAACGTAGTGGCAAAGTGGAAACCAGTCAGTAGGGTGCAGGTGGAGACGGATCCATGGATCCTCACTACGCTCCATAGTCAAAAGTGGACAGGCCTGGCCCTCAAGGACTTTGGTGGCACAAAAGGACATGGTATGTAAACATGTCTTGTGAGCAGGCGAGCATTAATCCAGCAGTAAAACACTGTGATATTGTGCTCCTGGAGTGAATACTAATTGCACCTTCTTTTGACCACAGGAGTTGTTGCCACCAAAGCCTTTGCCATGGGATCCATTGTTTGCGATTACCATGGCAAGGTAATCACAGGAGCAGAGGGCCGGAAGATGATGGAGTCCATCCAGGATGAGATGGACTACCTTTTCTTTTTCCATGGTGGTGGTCGGGACCTCTGCGTAGATGCTCAGACTTTCCCGTGTGGGTGTCACCCAACAGAAGACACCATGGGCCGGAGGATCAATCATTCCTCCAAGAAGGCAAACCTGAGGCCAGTCTATTGCAGGATGAACTTCCCTGAAGGAGAGAGGGATGTCATCCTGTTGCAGGCCACAAGAGACATTGATATCTGTGAGGAGCTGCTGTTTAATTACGGCGTCAAGCGCACATCTTTTCGGGGAGAAGGACTGAACCTCGACTGGCTGGATGAGTGAACAAAATGCCATTCATTCAACACTCTTGCAATAATATCTATATACACTGCATGTTGTTTGCACATTGCAATTGTTTTTAACTTGACACTTAGTTTAATTTTATTATGTACATAACAGTGTCTTTGATTTTTTGTTATCTCCCCTGTACATAGCAAACAATAAAGATTCGACTATAAGCACTGTAACAGCTGATCATTTCTTGGAAAATTCTTGTTCTGAGACTGAAAAACTCAACAATGTCTGTTGTTAGGTAACCGAGCGTAGCGTGGAAGTTGAGGAGAAATATCCTAAACACCTATTTTTAAACCTGCTAACACTAAAGAGCTACCTACACACTAACTTGTTGATTTTGGCTGAATTTCCTTTGTATCACATGTGATCAGAGTATAATAGACCCTGTGCACAGGCAACTCTGCAGACAGTCATAGCTGTCCTGCAGCTGCCTGTGGGGGGAGGGGGGCATTTGCATCTGTACACAGGCTGAGAATGAGAGTGTGACACTCTGATTCAGCCAGCTTTCATTTAAGTCATTATTTCTGCTCTAGGAGACCAGGGTAAAATGAGTCAGCTTCCACTGCTTTAATTAAAACATGTAAATGCCATATTACAGATTAGAATGACACACAGTTTTTGGGGGATAACTTTTGATAGGAAGGTGCTAGAGCCACCAAGTTGCAGACCACCAAGAGCACCATTGGACTCGGGGTTGAATTTCAAGTAGGACTGATGTATTTTCGAGACAATCGGAGAGTAGTTGTCAGAAGCTGTCCCGGCTGCAGCATATATGCCGCATTGCGGACAGAAAATAACAGCTAATTTCTAAGTGTCAAAAGTCGGGTGAGTTTTTTGGGGATAACTTTTGATAGGAAGGTGCTAGAGCCAAACGGTTTGCACCGTTGGACTCGGAGTAGGACTGATGACTCTACTTGATGACTCCACATACACCAGGACAGACTCAATTTGGCATGCCTGTCCGCCCGGGGTCAGAGGTCAGATTTCTTAAAGTTTTGCTATGTACTTCTGCCCAGCATTTTCACATATATGGTTAATAATACACACATTTAAAGCTTAGCTCTTCCTCTGCACTGTAAGCCCAGACCCAGAATTATAAGACAACCTGGAAGCTTCAAACCAGCCATACAGTACACACAGCTAAGTCTTACATTTTCGGGTGAGTACAGGATAAACCTCTCTCACCGAAGAGGGCAGAATTGCTGCTGACTCATAGGCCTGGCTCTCTCTTCAACAGGATCACATTTACTTCAGTGATAGGGCAATATATAGCCTAGATCCAGGCCTTTCACTGGAGACCAACATTGTTCATTTTCAAACTTGTGGCCCCTGTCAGAGAACTGTTGAGTTAGGCCTAAATTTGGCTCTTTCCAGAGGCCTGCTGTAAAGCACTATGGTGTATCAGTTGTGATACACCAAATTGTAGCCCTGAATCCCCTCTTTCCATCAAGCCCAAACACATTAATATAGCCCAACAGCATACCTAGAAATATGCATTACAATAAAGCTAATTAAGGAGATATCCTAGGGGCTCCAAAATTTACTCTTAATATTACCAGGCTGTTCAGCCCAGGAGACTCAGATTTTCAGTTGTGATACACCAGATTGTAGCTCTGACTCCCCTCTTTCCATCAAGCACATTAATATAGCAAAAAGGGACAGCTGTTAATATGCATTCCAATCCAGCCAATTAAGGCGGTATCCTACGCGCTCCACTAATTAGTCCAAAACGTTAAGAGGCTGCACAGGCTGGGACAGCAGATTTTCGGTTCAGTGACACATAAATTTAAAGGTGAGATTCAGACCTTTCCATAGACACCAATTTCAACATGGTAGAACAAACAAGTCAAAGCCAAACTAGTAGTATGTACCATAATGGGCATAATTATGAAAATGGCCGTATTGGCGCTATGAGATTTTCGTGATATTCTGGCATCACTGGAACCGGCTCGACAAGGCGAGAACAACCGCGCCTGAAGCAACTTTCTAGCATGAACAGAAACCGAGAGATTGGCAAAAAAGGATTTGGGTCTTTTCGTGCAGCATATGTGATGCGGTCAACCCTAAAACAGTAAAAAATTCATAAAAAATCAAACAAAGGTCGTAACAATGAATAAAGGTGGTCAGGCGATCGGCGGGCCTGGGGGCACCTGGCCATGTAATCCGTTTACCAATCCAACGCAGTTTAATGCTGAAATATTAGCCATATTCAGCGTTGAGGCGATATTGGATTGGTTGGACGGCATTGGATAGTCATGCTAGCCGTTGGATTTTGGTACCTATTTGTTGGCCCCGCCCTTAATCACAAATAAGAATTGGAACCAACGTCGTGGAGGATGCGGTTTCCGAGTTGATGTTTGAAAATATGCAGCATATATGTTGCATAACTAGGGTTGACTCGAAAAATATTTTCATACAAAAAAAAAATAATTCCGAATCGTTTTAAAAAGTTATACGCTAATTTCGAGTCAGTGAGGGCTGAGCGAGGGCGAACAGGTGCGGGGGTGCCAACTCCAAAAAGTAAACATTAGCTTTTCAGTATTAGTGCAACAAAATAAACATGGTTGGGTTTAGGCAACACTGTTCAACAACCAGTCACAATTTAGGGTCACCATTTCCCCTAGTCTGCATGTCTTTGGACGGTGAGAGGAAGCAAGAGCACCCAGAGAGATCCCATACAGACACTGGGAAAATATGCAAACTCCACACAGAAAGGCCAGGGCAACCGGGGTTTGCAAGATATGTATGCACACACACACACACACACACACATATATGTGTATATATATAGAGACACACACACACACATATATGTGTATATATATAGAGACACACACACACACACATATGTGTATATATAGAGACACACACACACACATATATGTGTATATATATATAGACACACACACACGTGTTCCACTCTAAAAATAGAGGCATATGTTAATGCCAAGATTCAGGCCTTTCAAAGGAGATTATTTACCTCTTTGCATTTTCTATATATATATATTTTTTGTTGTTGTTTGTTTGTTTGTTTGTTTGTTTTCATCTTTTTCCTTCAAATATCTTAAAGCTAAAAGGAAAAGCCCATCAGGGTGCTAGTAGTATAATAAACTCATAAACTCCAAAAACACTTTAATAAGAACATCAAAAAGACAAATTTTCAACATTCACTTAAGGTTTTATTCTTTCCTTTACAGGGTTTTGTCTTCAGATAACTAAAGATTTTAGTTTTTTGTTGCATTAAATATGATGCAGTGTGTTTTGATACGGAAGCAGAATTGTACATAAGACATAACAGAACAAAGACTGTGACCTTTTCCTAAACCCAGTAGCTTTATGTGCCTAAACCCAACCGAATCGATTAACTTTTTCTTTACCTAAAGGTGTTGTATACTGATGCTGAAGACTACACTTTAAAACTGTGTTTTGATACAGAAGCAGAAGGGTACCTTATGCGTCAAATGCTTTATCAGGTTTTTGGCAACCTGGGATGGAAGTGTTTTGTACATCCTCTAGATGCCTGAGGCACTTAAGCCCCCTGTGCCACGTCAACGCAGTCCATGTGGATGTGTTTTTTTTAATAAAAAATTAACCCCGAGCAATTAACAATTTACAACACAGGATTTACCAACCATTAAAAAAGAATGGATACTGTATGTGATGCACATATTTGGTCTGACCTACTGATACATTTGTAATACTACTTTGAGGCTTTGTGCTTTTTAATGATTGTAACATTGACCAGGGAATATTACCCTGCTTTACAGAAACAGTGTTAATCCTTTGTATCCTGTCTCAATGGTTGTTGTTTTTTCTCTTTGACTCTGTGATTAGTGAGCTTTAGCGTCTGTTTCTAGTTTCACATCAGTTGGACAGCCTGAATGCTGTAGTAGGAAATTACAAAATGCAAGAAACGGGCGTGGCATCAATTAGACTGTACTATTGTACAACAGACAGACAGACTGGTAACCTCAGACTGGTAACCACAGACAGACTGGTAACCACAGACTGGTAACCACAGACTGGTAACCACAGACAGTTAACCACAGACAGACCGGTAACCACAGACTGGTAACCACAGACAGACCGGTAACCACAGACTGGTATCCACAGACAGACAGGTAATCACAGACTGGTAACCACAGACAGACCGGTAACCACAGACAGGTAACCACAGTCAGACTGGTAACCACAGACTGGTAACCACAGACAGACAGGTAACCACAGACTGGTAACCACAGACTGGTAACCACAGACAGACAGGTAACCACAGACTGGTAACCACAGACTGGTAACCACAGACAGACCGGTAACCACAGACTGGTAACCACAGACTGGTAACCACAGACAGGTAACCACAGTCAGACTGGTAACCACAGACTGGTAACCACAGACAGACAGGTAACCACAGACTGGTAACCACAGACTGGTAACCACAGACAGACAGGTAACCACAGACTGGTAACCACAGACTGGTAACCACAGACAGACAGGTAACCACAGACTGGTAACCACAGACAGACCGGTAACCACAGACAGGTAACCACAGTCAGACTGGTAACCACAGACTGGTAACCACAGACTGGTAACTACAGACAGGTAACCACAGACAGACAGGTAACCACAGACTGGTAACCACAGACAGACCGGTAACCACAGACAGACAGGTAACCACAGACTGGTAACCACAGACAGACAGGTAACCACAGACAGACAGGTAACCACAGACTGGTAACCACAGACAGACAGGTAATCACAGACTGGTAACCACAGACTGGTAACCACAGACAGGACAGGGCCGTGGTGGGCCATCTTGAGAAGCCGGCTTTGGAAGGACTTTTGCATCAGTGTTTAGGACAGGACGGTTCAAGCACTGCAAGTCAAGTGGTTTTACAGGAAGGTCAGAATATATAACCACAGATGCAGGACCAAAAATGTTTGGATAAAGTGTGTGAGGATCGAGGGAGACTTGAGATATTAAACAGACTCCGTAGATTAAGGGATTTCGAGTCAGTGAGGGTTGAGCGAGGGGTGGCAGGTGCAGGGGGTCGCCAACCCCAAAAACTAAAAAACATTAGCTTTTGAGGATTAGTGCTCAAAAATAATGAGAGCTGGGTTTAGGTAACACTGTGCTAGAACAGGGGAGGGTTTTATATATGTATATATATATATA